TATCAAAAAATTTCAAAAATCCCTATTTAGCATGAATTCGGTATACAAGCCATCTTTAACCAATATCAGACTACATATGGACATCACAACAATCAATAGACTCATGCTTAAAGTCATGCTTAAACAATTAAATTGCATCCTCTTGTGCACAATATATTAACAACAAAATTTTAAAAGGCACTGCCTTACCCCCAAACTTAAGATGCACATTGTCCTCAATGTGTAAAAATAGATGTAGAGTTAGAAAGATATTACCAAATACGCAGAACCAGTAAGGATCAAGAATTTATAGCTCAGAGGAATGAAATCGTCACCTCACCCCCAAACTTAGTCATTTGTACCTGACAAAATAATCACACTCCACAGTACACATCAGAGTATTAAGTATATGAAGTAAAATAAATATACATCATTATACACAAGTCAAATATATATATATATATATATATATATATATATATATATTGCAAAACTAACCTAAACTAACCTAATCTAAAAATAAAAGAAAAGTACACAAATAAACTAAAAACCTAGAAAAACTAAAAAGAATAAAAATAAAAAGAAAATAAATCGAATCAAACTAAAGTACAAACCTACAAGTGCTAAGTTTAATGTCGCTAGCTCGACAACATGCTAAGTTTAATGTCGATAGCTCGACATTAGGCCACTCCTTAGCCTGTATCCAACAACTCAACTACCTCCCTCATCCCAAAACAAGTCCTGTGGGTGATTATGAAATTCGAAACAAGATGAACTAGTGTGGTTCCATCAAGACCCATGAAAGAATAATCAAGCTTATTCAGTGGTGGCTTAGGCTCAAGTTTATGAGAGGACTCATAAGAAGGACAATGAGGACTGGAAATCAAAGGAGGAGGATCTTTTGTTGGAAAGATGGTGACTGAATCCTCATCCATGACATCAATAAAGAAGCACCCATCTTTCTCTGAGGAATATGGAGAGGCATTGAAGATGTTTAATTTGAGTTTCATGTTTCCAAAAGAAATATCTTTAGCCCCAATCCTACAGTTAATGTTGGCATTCGCTGTAGCTAAGAATGGACGACCAAGGATCACAGGAGTACAGCGATTGGGATCATGGACAGGTTCTGTATCCAGGACAAGAAAATTAACCAGAAAATAGAACTTATCCACTTTAATGAGAACATCTTCAATGATCCCACGTGGTTGTTTCATAAATCGATCAGCAAGTTGTAACACCATTAAAGTGGGTTTAAGCTCTTTCAAGCCTAATTGCTCATACATCGAGTAAGAAGGAAGATTAACACTCGTTCCAAGATCAAGAAGTGTTCTGTCTATCACATTGTTTCCAATGATGCAAGATATGGTAGGAGCACTAGGATATTTGAACTTAGGAGGAGTGCTGTGCTGAATGATTGCACTGACTTGCTCAGTGAGATAGATTTTCTTAGAGACTTGGCTTTTTGATTTTCTCTTTTGAGTGCACAAGTCTTTCAGAAATTTAGCATAGTCAGGGATTTGATTGATAACATCTATGAAAGGAATAATGACTTTTACCTATTTGAAGACATCCATCATGTCTTGGATTTTCTCTCCTTGCTTACCAAAGTAAGAGGGTCCCTTGAAAAGTTCAAGAAAAAGCGCTCTTGGCTCATAAGCTATCTTAAGGTTGGGAGTAGATGAAGAAGGGACTTCACCTTTAACTCCTTTAGAGCTTGATGGAGTAAGATGTGAGGGAACATCTGTGGGATGTGGAATTGGAAGAATGGGATTGATAGGAATCCTACGCCTCTCTTTTTCTACCTCTTTTTCCTCAACTTGATTATCAATGATCTTTCCACTCCTCAAAGTAGTGATGGCATTAACTTGTTTATGACGAGAACATGAAGGAGTAGTCTCATCAATCATGTAAGTTTGCCTTTTTGGATTTGCAATTGGCTGACCTGGCATTGTGCCTTCATCTCTTTGAGTCAACACTTTAACTATTTGCCCAACTTGAATCTTTATTTTGGCCATAGATTGGGAATGGGAATGTACCAATTGAGTGGTGGAATTAAAATCATTAATTGCAGCCAAAACCTTCTCTTCAAATTCAGACGAGTACCTAGGAGGATGAGGATCAGGATTAGCGTGGTTCCTAAATTGAGGAAGACAGTAGATGGAAGATTGATTGAAAGAATTATTTAGTAAAGGATTAGATGAATTGTGGTACTGTCCCTAAGATTGGGGAACAATATTGCCTTAGCTTTGATTTTGCCATGATATATTGGACTGATCTCTCCAACTAGGGTTATAAGTATTTGAATTTGGATTGTAACCCAAATTGGAGAATGCAACATTGGTTTGTGCTTGTGGATTTTCAAAAGAGTGACCCAAGAGAGGACAACTGGCAGCATAATGAGATGGATTAACATAAATAGAACACACCTCCTTTGGCAAAGAGAAGTGCTTAGAAGAATTAAGATTACTGACAGCTGATAAAACTTGGTTAAATTTTCGATTTAACACTTCCATTTGAGTGGCTAGCTCTCTAGATTTTTCTGCTTCATGGATACTAGGAATGGACCTAGACCTAGAGGAAGAAACATGTTGGACAAAATTTTCACTTAGGGCCTCAAACAGTTCCTAAGGGTCATTTGGGCTTTTATGCAGAAAACCACCATTACTAGAAGCATCTACTATATTCCTATGTGGATCATGTAATCCATCATAGAAGATTTGCACCAAATGCCATTTAAGAATATCATGGTGTGGACACTTTCTCAGAAGATCATTGTATCTTTCCCAAGTATCATGAAGTTGTTCACCCAGGATTTGGGAGAATGCCATGATCTCTTTTCTCATTTGTATGATTTTACCCACAGTGTAGTATTTTTTCAAGAACTCTTGTTGCAACTTATCCCATGTGCTTATAGAATTATGAGATAGGGAGTGCAACCAAGTTCTAACTTTGTCCTTGAGAGAAAATTGAAAAAGTCTCATCCTAAAAGCATCATTAGAAAGAGTGGAAAACTTGGTAGTTGAACATAATACTAGAAATTCATCTATGTGCTTATAGGGATCTTTAGTAGCAAACCCATGGAAAGTTGGAAGCATTTGGATCACAGCTGGCTTGATCTCAAAATAGGTTGCATTAAATTATGGAAATTGAAAGCAACAAGGGGATGTATATAAGGTGGGAATGAAATGATCCCTCAATTATGGTCCATTTGGATTATCACCATTATTAGCCATGTCTGATTTAAAGAATTCTCCTAACAATTTAAGTAATTTCAATGGTAACAAGTAGTAACAAAAAGAAAAATTTCAAGTGAAGAAAAACAAAAAAAACTCACAAAAGGTCCTGAAACCGAAGCTTCTATTCCTTAGGCATCTTGATCCTCGCTACTAGATTCCTGCACTTGAAAAGAAAAATAAATAAGGTGAGATATCAGAAAGTCCTAAAACTATAAATTAAAATAAAACTAATCTCAAACTCAATAAAACTGTGACACAGTCCCTGGCAACGATGCCAAAAATTAATGTGTTGTTGTGGTCTTCATCATCACGGACGATATTTCTCTTCTCAGGATCTTCACTTCTAAGGTTATAGGAACCCTAAAAGCCACCACACCTTCTGCCTTTTGAATAACACCGTCAAAAGAGATTAAAATTTTTGACCTCTTCTATCAAGGCTTATGCCTTTCTTTACAGAAGAAAATAAGTATTTGGTGGGCTTTTAGGTCTTCTAGCCCAACTGGGATGAGATACGGCTGGTAAACAAAGTAATCCTGCAACTTTTAATCTAACATGTCATGGAAGGCTTGAGCTTCAGGAACAGAAGCTCGAGCTTTAGGGTTCATGCTCAAGCATAAGGAATAAGGCTCGAGCCTCTTTGAATGGATACTCGAGCTTCCATAAATGGTGCTCGAGCTTCATATTGACACTTAGCCAATTTTCTTCAACTATTTTCCAAAGCGGTTTTTTCTTATTTTTGGGGTTGAACTCTTTTAACATTACTCGATCCAAGCTTCATAGGCTCAAGCATTTGGGGCTCAAGGCTCGAGCATCAGTGGATAATGCTCGATCCTTAGTGGATGGTGCTCGATCCTGGAGGTGAAGCACAAGACCTGGGAGCATAGCCTTTCAATTAAATCAACTCTTTAATTTCTGACGCCTCATACTCGAGCTTGAGGGTCAAGGCTCGAGCACCATTGGTTAAGGCTCGAGTATCCTATGGTAAGGCTTGAGCACCAAGGTACAAGGCTCAAGTATTTGGGCCTTGTTGACTTTTCTTCTCTTCTTTGTTGTGATGCTCGAGCCTCAACACTTGGGCTCGAGCTCGGGGGCTTCAATTGCTTCAAACTTTACCATTTAAACTTTTGACTTGCTCTGAATGACCGGCAACGACTCTGTAAGCTTCGATATCATCATAAAGTCTCAGTTTTAACCATTTATCTGGGAAAGTACCTACAAACACAAAATACATAGAAATTAGTTTAACAATGGATATAATTATTACTTTATGTCTTAACATATGTATATTTAGGGGCTTAAATATGTAATATTCAGCGCTCATCACCTATTCGCATTGATTACACTTCAAAACAGTTGGCGAGACTTTATATAACAGAGATTGTGAAGTTGCATGGCACACCGTTATCTATTATATTGGATAGGGATTCAAGCTTTGTATTGGGATTCTGGAAGAGTTTTTAGCAGGTTTTGGGTACCGAATTGTATCCTAGTACTACTTATCGTCCTCAGATTGATGGACAGACCGAGGAGGTTAATCAGATCATGGAGGATATGCTTCATTCTTGTGTCCTTGACTTTAAGAGTCATTGGGAGGACTATTTGCCACTTGTGGAGTTTGCATATAACAATAACTTTTAGAAGACTATTTGAATAGCACTGTTTGAGGCTTTATATGGCCGGCTTTGTAGATCTCCTATTTATTGGATGGAGGTTGGTGAGAACAGATTTTTGGGTCCTGAGTTCATTAAGGATACCTCTAAAAATATTGCTCTTATTAACGATCATATGCGCATTGCCCAGAATAGGCAAAAGTGTTATGTAGACCGTCGTACTTGTGCATTAGAGTTGCAGGTGGGAGATCATGTTTTACTCAAGGTGTCTCATATGAAAGGGGTAATGCGCTTTGGGAAGAAAGGGAAGTCGTCACCACATTTTGTCGATCATTTTATGATTACGGATCGAATTGGAACGATGGCTTATTGCTTCGCACTTCCGGATCATTTAGATCGTGTTTACAATGTGTTCCATGTTTCCATGTTGAGGAAATTTCTTTGCGATAAAATTCGTTATCAGCATATTGATGTTGGTGAAATTGAGTTGCAACCGGATGCAACCTATGTGGAACAACCGTGTCGTATTATTGACTGTAGGGATCAAATTATTTGTAATAAGGTCATTCCTTTGATACGTGTCCAATGGACTTATCACAATGAGGCTAAATCTACTTGGGAACAGGAAGACGTCATTCGCTCAACCTTTCCAGACATAATGGATGAAGGTAAAGGCGAATTCCGAGAAGGGAATTCCTTTCGTTAGGGGGAAAGAATGTAATACCAAATGATAGTCTCGGTATTTTATTAATTGTTTCAATTGTGTTCTTAATTTTTATTTAATTTCTTGGTTATTTGAATTAATTATGTGTTTAATTGAAATACTTGTTTAGTTGATTATGTGTTTATTTGAATTACTTATTTAGTTGAATTTTGTGTTAGGTTTTCTTGCAATTAATAGTTAGGAATTAAATGTGTTAAATGGTTGTTTTATTTTTTATTTTTTATTTTTTTAATGGTTATGGATAGTAGTCATGGGCCAACCACTTGGGTTCCATGGACTACTTAGATAAGGAGTTTAATGGGTATGGATAATTACTCATGGATAGTGTATATGTATATATATATATAATTAAATAATATATATTTAAGGAAAGTCCTTTAGAGATAATCTAATGAATTTATTTTATTTAGTTAAAAAAATAATATGCATAGATTATACGTAACTTATATTTTTAGTTACCTTTTTAGTGTTTTAATTTTATTATTATTTTCTTTATTAATTGGATGTGGATTGGGAAAAGGAATAGGGTTAATATCTAGTCTATAAATATATCTCTATAGGGTTGGAAAAAGGGGTTAGAAAATATATCACGTATAATTTTAAAGAGAGAGAGAGAAAGAAGGAGGGAGGAGAGGAAGAAGAAGAAGGAGGCTAAGGTTTTATCAAATCCTAAAGGCAAGTTCTTTATTCTACACTTCTCTCTTAGATCTATAATCTATATATCTCTAGCATAGCTTTAGGGATGTTTAAAGGATAATTAAAATTGGAATCCATGTTTTAATTAATCTAGAACTAGGTTTTATAAATTATTTTGTTTATGTTTATTCTTGTGTATAAATTGATAAATTTATGATTTGATTGGATTACTTTATGTTTTGTTACATATTGTACATAATGTATTTTCATATCTATATACTTTGATGGAACGTAGAAACATACCTAGAATTTCTGAAACAAATAAAGAATGAATTCATAGTGAAATTCTGGGTTGATTCGCGTAACAGTGTTCGGACCGCTGTTACAGTGCTCGAGCCTTGGGGGCAAAGCTTGAGCCTTGGATGAAAAGCTCAAGTTTGTAAGGAAAAGCTCAAGCAATTGGTTGTAAAGCTCAAGCCTGAGAAAGAAAGCTCGAGCAATTGGGTGAAAAGCTCAAGCCTAAAGTAGGATGCTCGAGCCTGAAGTAGGGTGCTCGAGCAATTAGGACAAAAGCTCAAGCCTTACTTGATGAAGTTTCGGAAACAGCATTATATTACTTGTTATTGAAATTGAGGAGTCCTAAACATCAAATAAGGACTAGGAATGAGATTAAATAAATGTTAAACAAACTTAAATTTATTAACACATGCTATTTGATTCTTTGAGGAATGAATGGACTTAATCTTTAATTGGTTTTAACAATTAAGATTAATTGTATAGCATGAATGGTATATCGAGAATGCTTGAGTGATTGTGTAGTAAAATATCAATCTATTTAAGATTTAGTATATGTAGGATGTGTGATGTAGAAAACTTAAATAAATTATAAGCTGTACCTATTTTGTAATAGCATGATATAATATTATTATGTTTAACTTTGGATTATTTGATGTACTTCTGAAATTGTTACATCAATTGTTGGATTGTGTGGATTTAGTGCACCAGTATGGGATGGTGGTAGTCTAGGGATGGATTAACTTATCAGTTAAGTCCTACATATTTTATAAGGAAACGGCTTTGCTAAAATGGTAAGTCCTAATTATATTTGTATCAGGTCAACTGAACCAGTTGGATGATACATAGTGGATTAATTTAGATTGGATATATATATAGACATTTGCCATGATATGAGCTTGAGTCTCAGGATCATGGTTATGGTGCGTATATTGCTAGAGATGTGTAGCTAGATATAATGTAGTTATTTCCCTGATAGGTTTAGGTACTCATGCCCACTATATGTGCATTTTGCATGTTGCCTACTATTCAGGTTGAAACAACCTTATAGTCTAGTGAGGTTCCTTTAGTGTGTATCTATATATTTATACGGATTACTTAGCTATTGCATGGGTTAACTATAGATATATAATTTATCTGATCTCTGTTTGGGTTGTCGTAGAAAAAACTTATTCGTGGGCCTCACCCACTATTATTATTTTTCAAGTGTTCGTCAGTTCCAGATATAGAGTTTGTTCGTGTTGAGCAGAGACAGTCCACATCATTCTTCCGGTTCTATGTAAGACTCTTTTTATGTTTTAGATTCGGATTATGTTGTTTTTCGATTTTTTCAGTTGGATTATCATTAGGGGTCCACTAGAGGGATTCCCGAGTTGTAATGATATTAAAGGTTTTTGATGTTTCATTTGGAGGATTAATTATTAAGTTAAGGATTTAATATTTAATTTCTTTTCAGCGGTATTATTTATTTCTTATTATGTTTTTATGTATTCTGTGTTCATTTACATACTTAATTGTTTGGTATCTTTCATATCTGTGCTCGGACTTGATTACCCGTGGCTCTAAAATTGAGGGGTATCACAAGAGGAAAGGAGAGGAGAGAGACGCTTAGTATGGTAGACGTCCGCAATGAGTAAAAAGGCATGTTTCAATGCAAGTATTTATGCAATCCATAATTCCTTATTTACTTTGACTGATTCAATTCATCACCATCCAAAGTTCCAAACCCAATTTCATCACCCTTTTTTTTTTTTTGGTAAATGAACCCAGTTTCAGACTTCCAACACTCAAACTTCAATTTTTAAAATTCAATTTTCAATGGTTCACTTCCTGAATGTGGGTACATGCTGTGATTCTTGTTGCGGACATATAAGTCTTGGTGTTGTCTACAGCTCAGTCTCTCTGGTCTCTAGCGAATCATTCGTCTGCAAATCAATCAAAAAACGCGAACTCTCCAATCAGACCTATCTCGCAGCTCATGAGCGCAAGCCCTAACATTCTTCAAATCAATGTGGACAAGAATACCTCCACGTCGTCACCCTCTCCACCATGAGAAAAACTAGAATCTTTCTAATCCTAATTGGCAGCCAGCCATGACTAAAGAATTGCAACCAGTAAGCAAATGCCGATGAAATTATGAGGTGTAAATTATGAATCAATCAATATTTTTGGTCTACTTGAAATATTTAGAATTCATGTATTTTGTATTTGTTGTATTGTCATACTTTTGAATTGACCCAAGCATGACATGCCTTAAAAAAGCATGGACACTACTTTGAATGGCGTGGTGTCCAAATTGGCAGCCCATTGTGATAAGTACAAATAGGGATAAGACCCTCAAACCCCAAAAAAAAATTACTCACGTTCATCATCCTCTTTGAATCTTCTCAAGTACTGTCTGTAACAAGCAGGTGACCGATTTCTGCCATTATCATTTTTTTATCGCGCTTCTCTTAATTAATTACCTCTCTTATTCTGGTATACTGTCTTATTTTGGTAATTAATTTAAGGAGTTCTGAATTTGCTATATATGTTTTTGTCTTCTTTACGATTTTTCCATATATATTTACATTAAAAATTTTGTCGATTGTGTGTAAGTCTTGCAAACCCTGAATCAACCATTTGAAGCCATAGATCGGCTACCCTTCTTCAAACGAGCCCACGCTCAAACCAAAAGACCAGTGAAGATTCTCACCCAAACAACCAAAGCCTTAACCTTCACAGCACTCTGTAGCAACCAAGCCTAAATGACTTCCAAGTTCATTCTTATTAAGCCATGAATATTTGTATTGTTAACAAAAAAATGATTAGTGACCTAATGTTAGAAGAGTCATTTCTCGAGTGGGTAAAATATAGAATATCTTCAGTTTTGGGTGAAAAAGAAAATGCCTAATACGTTACTAATGATATTATAGTCAAATTTAACCTTTAATTCGATGTTATGTAAAGTGCTGATCCAGGTCTGGATCAATCCTCCCATCATCATTAGGAGAATAGGATGGTCCGACTGCAATAATGACGTTACGAATTTAGATCGAAGAGAATGTTAGAGAATCTTAATTATCCCATATCCGATCTTAGAGAAGGGCTTTGACACATATAGACGAGTTCGGTTAAAAGCAATGCCCAACATAATTTTACATGTTCTATTGATTTGTTAGTGTATTTTTTATTTTGCTCATATGAATTAAATGTAAACAGACCCATAGGTGATATGACGTGATCACTCTATTATACTCATTTAGGAGCACCAAATGAGTGCCTTTCTTTAGTTTATCTCATAGTTTCAGACTTCATATCTTTGACATTTTATTGATTGGGGCATTTTTCTTTCATGGTTTAGATTTTATTTTATTTTTTATTATTATTATTTTTTTCTGGCAACTAGGTCGATACTTGCCTTCCTGTTTGAATTAAGAGTTCAACTGGACCAATTGGCTGGGTTTTATTTAACTGGCCAACTAGGCCATTCCCAATCATCTTTTCAAATGTTCTATGGTAGGTAATGCCATCTTTAATTTTTTACCATTTTCTATTTTCATATTTAATTTTGTCACAAATTTCACAACTATCTCCTTACAAAATTATGTATGCTATATAAATTTCAATAGAAAGTGCAAACCCAAAAGTCCTGATATCAACACAATCACAAAGCCAATAAGGTAGCGATGGTTGATATGGCAAGTGTAGAGCTTTTAAGTTCCCTATAGATAAGGATTGAAGGAAACAAAGATAATTTAAAGGCTCTCAAGGATTTCAGCCCGATGGGGCCAAATGTGTCTGGCATTACAAGGTGTCCACTGTTCTTTGTGCATAAAATGAAGATGCTTATACACCGCGCATGGTGTCTATTGGTCCTCTTCACAGAGGGAAGGAACATCTGCAGGCAATGCAGGAGGACAAATTGAGCTACATGTGCTGCCTATTTGAGCGAACTCAATCCGACCAAACACGTAAAAATTACGTAGAAACTATGCTAGAGATGGCACCCATTGTGCGAGAATGCTATACAAAAGCAATAGTAGTCATACCGGATGACAATATCATACTTGCAAAAATGATGCTGATTGATGGTTGCTTCATAATTGAACTTTTATATAGGAATTACTTAGAGCAACAAGACCCCATTTTGTGGAGCCCTGCCAAGTACTACGCTGTCCAACATAACTTGCTATTACTCAAGAACCAGATTCCTTCCCATGTTGTTCAAAAATTGTTCGACCTGACAATGTTATGTATACCGGGTAGTGGAAACCAAACCTCCCCTGACCTCATTGGATGTGTCCTTTCATTCTTAGGCGATATGATAGGTCCAGGAAATAGTAACTTAAGAAATAAGAATTACTTGAATCCATATCACATTCTCCATCTTTTACATATTCTATACATGCCTGGTTATACCATTAGTACAGAAGAGGAATGGGCAAACAACTGCAAAGAGCGATCTGCATTCGAATATTCTGCAACAAAACTCAAAATGACAAGAGTCAAATTACAGAGACATAAAACACGAAACTTATTCGACATGAAATTTACTATTGATAGTACTACTTGTCATCGTTTATTCAACAGTGGTGATGAGAGCTAAAAAGTATGCATTTAAATCCCTTAAGCTTGAGTATTCTAGGACCTTTATCTATCTTATTTCCCCGTTTTATACTAATTTCATGTTATTGCCTTTTTAGGTGCTTATCTAAAAAATAAGAGCATTAAAGAAGTTAACTCAACCTGAATGGAAGAAAGAAGCAAAGTGGAAGCAAATTGAAGCAAAGTATGGAAATTCAGCATGTTCGATCGATCTCAGCAATTCTCAGATCGATCGAAAGTTCATCGATCTAAACAATTCAAGATGGATCCAAACCTTTGTCCTTATCCAAAAGAATCCAACAAGTTTGATCGATCGAACATTTCCCATATCGATCGAAATGATTTGATCTTATCCATACCTACCACCCACCTACCACTTTTGTCTTTTTCCCAAAAATATCTCAGAGATTTGTCTTTATTCAAAAAGGCGCAGCCAAAGATGATCGATCTCTGCAGCATTCGATGGATCTCAGCCATGTTCGATTGATCTCAACACAGTTCGATCGATCAAACTTCCTCAAGTCCAAAAAAAAAAAATAGATTCCAGCTTATTAAAAGTTGGCTCATGGTGCAATCATTGGAGGGACATTGGTGTACGAGCCCAGACCATTGGGTGACATTTTGACCTACCTATATAAGGATTGAGAGCCACTTTTAGAGCATAGTTGTTATTCATAACTTGTAATTTTCTTATCTTGGAGAGGAGGCTAAAGATTATAGAGCTTTTACACATTTTGGGAGTTCTTCCATTCTTCTAGGGTTTCCATCAAGAAGGAGGTCATTCCTACCATGGAGATAACCCTTGAGGGTTGGATGACTACTTTAATGAGTGGCTAGACATCTACTTAGGCCTAGAGTAGCCCTTAAGTTTGCTTCCTAGACTTAGTTCTTTGATCTTAGATTTATATGTATATCTTGCGGTTTCTACTTGATGTGTATGGATTAATGCTTTCAATTGATTATCTACTTCTAACCATATGTCTATGTATGCTAGAATGGATGATTTATGTGCTTTTCTCTAGATTTAGTGGAATTTATGCATGTCTATGTGTATGGATGAAGTTAATCTAGAGTTACAATTTATTTAATGGTTCACACCGGTTTCTTGATGGATTGTACCACAATTTTAACTTACTTAGTTAAATTTCGTGTCTTTAGTGTAGATGTAGTGTAGTTGTTTTAAATTCATAGATAAGTGGACAATCTACTCTTGTTCCTTGGTGTTCCATACTTATGAATGCATTGGATGTATGTTTCTATATAGTTGTGTGTGCATAAATTGTGGTTTCATTGAATGGATTTTAGTCTCATTTGATAGGTTGTGCTTTCCATTTGATTTGGCTTGACAATCTATACTTATCTGCCATCCATGCCTAGTATTAGTTAATGTCACACACACACAAACAAGTTACAAGTCAATTTCCCCATTAATATACAATTACTGGTGAGGTATAGTACCCTATGTCCTCCCCTCTATATCTTTCTCTACGTTATTAATCATTGAATTTTGTTTACTTTAATCTCATTTGCATAATAGCTTAACCAACCAATCTTTGATCACTCGACCTACTAACCCTATTTATTGTTTCCATTACAAAGGCACCCACAAATCCCTTGGGACAATCCCTACTCACCCTAGCTATATTTTTAGTTAGAGGTAGTGGTGGCTTTTACAAATTTAAAACTTGGCCACATTGCACACTCACACTCTTAGTTCATATCATTTTGCAAACTTTTGGTGCATTGGTACGACACACACCAAGTTTTTGGCGCCGTTGCCAGGGATTGAATTGGCAATGTCGTGTTTTGAAAATAAATAGGAATTAGTACTCTTTTGATCGTGTCTTTTCTTTATTTTCTTCTTCGTTACTTATTGTGTTTGTTCTTGATTGACTAGGTGCATTGAGTGAAGGAAGTTGAGAAAAGGAGAATTCAAAGAAATGAGCTAAGTTAAGCACAAAAAGGACTAAAAATCTAAAAAAATTGCAAAGCAAAGCCAGGCTAGAAAGTTGAAAGTTAAATTGAAGTTGCTTAAGGACCCTTTGTGAGATCTTTCTAACTCAAGCTCTAGTTAAATCATCGGCCCGCGTGGAGGCTTGTTTTTCATTTCTTAGATAAATCGTGAGCCCGCGATGAGGCAATTTACTTTTCCTTGCATGTTGTTCAAGCATGGGAGTATAAGATCAATGTATGTGGAGATTTGTTGATTGATTTGTTGTGGGGGCGAAGTGTTTGTTACTTGCTTATTTCTTGTTATTTGTTTTGCTAGTGCATGCATGGTCGTAGGTCATTGAATCCTACTCTTGTCCCTCTTAATTTTCATCTTGAATTGGTTATTCGTAATCCTAAGGGAAGAGGTAGTTCTCATCACTCCATTTTATCAATGGATGAGCAAAATAATGACCTTGTGCAGGACCTTGGTTACATAGACCAACAAGGCATCCTCCACCCTAATGTGCATCATGAAAACATCCAATTACCATTAGGCATGCCTAGACCATTTATTCCACCACAACAACAAGGCTAAATTCCATTGGGAATGCCTCAACCAATCTTTGCTCCATAACCTCCTATGGTTCAAGCTAACCACAATGTTTGAGTAGGACCACTGGTTGTAAATTCCCCTCTTGCTTTAAGAGACCATTATGTGCCTAATGAATATAATGCACCCACTTGCATTCAATTGCCTCTATTTAGAGTACATCACTATAAAATTAAACCACAAACCATTCAAATGCTTCCTAACTATCATGGACTTTCAAGTGAAGAACCCTATAAGTATTTGGATGAGTTTCTTAAAGTGTGTTCCACCGTGAAATACATGGACATGCCAGAAGAAGTGTTAAGACTCAAACTTTTTCCTTTTACACTCAAAGACAAGGCAAAATATTGGTTTAACAATCTTAGGCCTTTTTCGATAACTTCTTGGCCAGAAATGCAACAAGAGTTCTTGAAAAAGTACCCAGTATCAAAAACCAATGCCATGAGAACTTGAATTCGTGAATTTTCTCAAGGGGATGGAAAAATGTTTCATGAGGCATGGGAAAGATTCAATGACTTGCTTAGGAAGTGCCCACATCATCACATACCTAAGTGGTAACTAATTCAATATTCTTTGAAAGTTTACTAGATAATCACAAGGGTATGGTTGATGCATCTATGGGTGGTTTTTATCTTGATAAGCATGAAAATGATGTGTGACAATTGTATGAAAGTATGAGTGACAATTCCATGCATAGGTCCTTATCTTCTAAAAATGGTAGAAATCTAGGTGGAATGAAGAATGTTGGCTTATATCAAGTTGACAACTCCAATGATATAGCCGCCGAGATGAAATCCTTATCTCAAAGATTTGATCAGTTTTTAATCAACCAAACTTCGGTGAATCAAATGTCTTCCTTCCCTAATCATGTTCATCATCGTGCATCTAATGAATCATATATGACTTGTTCTAGTGTGTTACATTATACTTCCAATTGTCCCTATGGACATGTACAAAATGACAACCATGAGCAAGCAAATGCCATTTTTGCTAACCAAGGGAATAATCCCTATGGCAATCATTATAATTCAAGTTGGAGGAACCATCCGAACTTTTCTTGAAAAATCCAAGCGGAAGGCTCAAACCTTCCCCAAGGTGGTTTTCAAGGGAAGTATATCCCACCTCCAATGCAAAGCCAAGGTTCCCAAGGTTTTAGATCATCATCATTTCAATCACATGGAAACCAATTCTCTAATTCTAATTTTCCTAATCAACCATCTTACATCTTATTCTCAAGGAAGCTCTAGGAGTCCCACTTTAGAAGAAAAAGTTTTGACCGCTTTAGGCACTATAAAGGCGAACACTCAATTGCTTCATTCTCACTCTCAATCCATTGCTAAGCTAGAAACCCAAGTAGGGCAAATAACTAGTACTTTAAATGCTAGAGATAAAAGAAAAATGCCTTTGAATGCCCCACCAAAGAAATAATGTGTTGTGGAGATTCATTCCTCATTGGAAGGTCCCACAATTGAGCATGTCAATGCGGTGACAACCTTGAGGAGTGGGAAGATTGTGGACAACAAAATAGGTATGTTCAATGAAGAGAGTTAACCGATGCAACCAAAAGTTGACACCTGTCCCGTTTCACATGTTATTTTTCCATCATTGCATGTGCATGATCATCATGTTGAGAAAGCATTGAAAAATGATTTGAAAAATGAATCAAAGCATGATTTGAAAAAGGACTTGAAAAATTCTTATGTTGATGATGTTTCAAAGATAAATTTTGAAAAAGTTTTTGAGCCAAGAGCTCTATTTCCGGATGCCTTGAAAGAATCCATTTATCTTGATAAACAAAAGACCAAGACCAATGAAATCATTGAAATGTTTAGGCAAGTGAAGATTAATCTCTCTCTTTTGGATGCAATTAAGCAAATTCCAGCTTATGCCAAGTTCTAGAAAGATCTTTACACCCCCAAAGAGGAAGAACAAAAGCTAAGCACCAAGAAAAATGGTTTTGACCGAGCAAGTGAGCTCTATTTTGCAACATAACACCCTCCCAAAGTTCAAAAACCCTGGTTCACCTACTACTTCTTGCATTATTGGTGACCACGTCATCAATTGGGCTCTCTTAGACTTAGGAGCAAGTGTTAACCTTCGTCCATACTCGATATATGTCAAATTAGGCTTAGGAGACTTGAATCGACGTTGGTAGTTTTACAACTTACCGACCGATCAATCAAAAAGCCTAGGGGTATCATTAAGGATGTTTTAATTAAAATTGATAAGTTCTTCTTCCCGGTCGATTTTATTGTCATTAACACGGAACCGGTTCGAAATCCTAAGAGCCAAATTCCCGTTATCCTTGGCCGTCCTTTCTTGGCAACTTCAAATGCCAACATCAATTGTAGGATGGGGATAATGAAAATCTCATTTGGGCATATGAAAGTGAAGTTAAACATTTTTAACCCAACCCCGAATTTAATGGACCAACATGAAGAAGTGTGTGTTGTAGAGGAGTGTGTAAACCATGAATTTGATGAAGTTAAGTCTTTACTTGATGTTGAACATTTCCATGGTTTGTCTACCAACTTGAAAGCATAGAAAGTTGCATTGAAGTTAAGTGTTCCAAGGGCATGGAAGCCCAAGAGTTATTTTGACCAAGGAACGTCAATGTCGTTTGAATTAAGTCCAATGAGTTCCTTAGGGAGCAATTTGTTAGGTGGGATTCAAAAATCCATTCACCCTGTCAAGGAGGGGTTGCATAACAAGATATTTGATCCGGGCTAAAAGAGCCCAACATTTTGCTAGAGACGTTAAAGACTAGTACATGCTTCGTAGGGTTTACAACCCTATTCCTCCTTCATTTCTATTTTACCTTTCATATCTTGCGTTGTCTAGATATGTTTTGGGGTTTATACACATTGATAGGAACTATGATTGAGGATGCATGCCCTTTCATTCTGAAAATAGGCATTTTGTTCTTGTTCGATCGATCTCAAAAGAAATTCGATCGATCGAACATCCTTGCCTACATCCAATCATCCCTCTGTTCCATCGATCGAAATTTTCCTGCATAAATCAACACTTTGTGTATCGATCGAAAATTTTCTTGGATCGATCTGAAAGTTCCTAGATTGATCCAACTTTTTCTTAGATCGATCTTCACTCCACACTTAGAAAATTTTTAAGATTCATGAAAAAGGCCTCTCTGTACATCGTTCGAACTTGTCTATAGGTTTTCACCTGTTCGATCGATCGAAGTATCTTTTAGATCGATCTTGCATTGATCGATCTGTACCCACCTTTGTTGACTTTGATTTGACTTTTAAACTTTAATTTAGTAAAAATCCAAAAATATTTTGAATTTTTAGTTTATTTCATTTTATTCTCAAAAATTTCAAAAATATTTTTAATTTTAGGAAATTTTTCAAAAATCTAAAAATATTTTCATTTTATCTTATTTTATTTTTATTTTATTTTATTTTATTATT